CCCTTCTTTTAATTGGCAGGTTTCATGTGGCATCACCTGCCACATCTTTGGAGGCTGGGTGAATTTCTTCACAGCTTGTGGGGGTTGGGATTGTACATTATTGCTGTAATGATCACTCTACAGTAACCTTTTAAATAATGAACAGGAGCTTATGTACCTCTGAGACTGTTTGTCATAATAACCGTCATCCAATGAAAACCTTTCGTGACAGTGAAGGTGATCTAACTGCTCCAGGTTGCCATTACGTGAGCACATTAATGAATAGGGGAGTTTGATGTGTGTTTAGCGGTGTAATTCTCCTCTATGTTTCTCCTGGTTTTTTTCAGAATATTTATAGCGTTTGTCTCACCCAGCAAGTGATATCTAGTTCATGTGTGAACTGTGTCTTTCAGCAGTCTGGTGTTTCTGAGAAACAAGCTCCTTTGGATAAACATCTTCCTGAACCACCTTTAATATGGCAGCGGATAAATAATAATATGCATTCATCATGCATATACACTGCGAACAGTGAACTCCAGGGATTTCCCTAGGCCCAATAAGGGGGGTGTTGTGGAGATATAGGCTTCATCTGGCCCTGAAATGTGTGCATATTACCTAGGAACCACAGAAGTTGGCTGATGTGGGTGTATGTCTCTGGAGACCAGAGTGATCAGCATAGTCTTGCTGTTTAAGAAACAAAAACCACGGTGTTTGCAGTATTAAAGGAGTATTAAGATGTAACTTTGTTGATTTCCGCAAGAAATGCATTTGACTCATCTCTCAGTTTGAAAAAAATACTTTTACTAAGTCTATTGGGCATTGAAGTAAAAAGTAAAAGTTTTTTTTTTGCACTACTAATAACACCAAACTGCTTGTTTTCAGACAGGTGTTCCAAACAGTCTGCCATTGGTCAGCCAAAACAGATAGCCCCGCCCCAAACCCTATTTGGCTGAGGCAGTGTTGCTATGTTGGTCTAGTTTGGAATAAAAAACAAAACAAAAACACAACAGAGCAGTATTTTAAAAGCACCACAGACACACAGTGTTAACAACTTACAAATACTGTACTGTAGTTATCTCTACACATTGTGCTGGGATAGAAGAAAGTACACTATTGTTCAAAAGTTTGGGGTCAGTAAGAGTTGTTTTAAAGAAGAAATTAATTATTTTATTCAGCCAAGGGTGTGTTAAATGTATCAAAAGTGACAAAAGACATTTATAAAGATTTATTTTGAACGTTCTATTCATCAGTCCAGATGATCCAAAAAATCCAGAAGAAAGTATGACTTCTTTCCATAAAAATTTTAAGCAGCACATGTGATTTCAACCTTGATAATAATAAGAAATGTTTCTTGCAAATTAAAATGAATTCTGAAGGATCACATGACACTGAAGGCTAGAGTAATGGCTGCTAAAGATTCAGCTTTGCCATCACAGGAATAAATTACATTTTCAAATACATTAAAATAGAAAACAGTTTGTAATAGGGTTTGACAATATTAAATCAACAATGTGTCAATATTACTGATTAAATCAATGCAGCCTTGGTGAGCATAAGAGACTTTTTAAAAAACTTCTTACAAACCCAAACTTTTGAACAGTAGTGTATTTAACATTGAAAAATGGCAAACTTTAGCTTTAAAGATATGACACTATTTCACAACACATTTAAGTCCAGTAAGCCTGGTAACTTTTTGTGTGATACCCTTGAGGATACCACGAAGTGATATGTCCGCTAAGCTTCTGTTTACATGAATCAAACTTTACCCAGAAGAATTACATTAGTAAATGATAAAGTCCATTGACCTAGAAAAGTAATTCTACCTCAAAAAGGATGATTTACTATTTTTACATTTCAACTAATGACCATTTTTGAATTAAACATTACTGAATAATTCATATAATCCACCAGTATTACTGTTCCTAAATGCTTTTAGTTTGCAAATACCTATTTTGTGTGTTTTTTTTGTAAACTGAGGGACAAGTTGAAATTAATGGTAACACATGAGCTTACAGCATTTATTAATCTAGGTAAATGTTAATTTATCAGTATACTTTTCTTAATACAGTAAATAAATTAATCCAATAATGTAATGTAATTGTTAGTCCATGTTAGCTATTGAATTAACTAATTTTAAAGTATTGAACAACATAATTGTAAAATGTTGACTAATTATTTAGCTTATATAACCAGGATTTTTTCTTTAACTAGAATTCGACCATGGGTTTAGATGTGCAACATTAATTTGATCTGAGTTCTGACAGCTTATGACATAAATTCAACAGCAACAAATGTATTCATTAATTCAATAAATGAGCATCAAACTGGGTGATTGTGAACTTGATGAGCAGACAGCGTTCGGTCTTTTAATGTGACAAAGTTCTTTGTATGTGGTAGTAAGCTGAAGCGCAGTCTAGCAGCTTGTACTTGAACACTCGTTACAGTGCTCTAATTATTGCAACTTTCAATGGAAAGAAGGACACCTAAAAAGCTGAACTACTTTGACGCAGACGGAGTAGTTAAAAGTCCATTTCACACTTTGTATAAACAGTCTTTCCTATTCTTTTTATGTAATCACTTTCTTTGTTTCTGTATCCCTCCCAGTGCCTTTTCGGGAGGCACCGGCAGGCACGGGTCGGAGCAGGCCGCTGCAGCAAACACCGCCACAGCACCAGGGTAGGAGCACTCTTGCTGCCCCACGCGTGCTGCTCCGCTCCAACAGCGACAACAACCTGAACATTAACAAGCTACCACTGGACCGTTCTTGCTCGCCCTCTCCTGCCGCCTCCCCCCTGCGCAGCCTCTTGCCCCGCCACCCCCAGCAGATGCAGAACAGCCCCAATGGCACGGTGAAGACCATGGCCCGGGGGGGACTCTCCGCCCGAAGTCGTTCCCCTTCCCTGGGCCGACTGGGGGAGGGAGACACCCGGAGACAGACCCCTCAGCGCCACAGCAGGTCAGTGGCTGTCCGAGAAGGGAGAAATGGGACTTGAGGACAACTGTGTTAATGTGTCAGAATGTGTCCAGTTTTGTGTGGGTCCCTCATGTCCTGGCTGGAATGTGTCCCTTTCTGTAAGGACAAAGTTTTTTTTATCTATTGCCACCAGAGGCCCTACAGTATTGATGGCAAATCTGTGTTATTTTTATAAGGCCATGTGTGGATGCAAATAGGTCAAGTGTTGGGAATTGGTCAATGGGATTTGGACTGGACCGCAGAGATGCCTGGCTTTTCAAAAATGTTACTTTTTGGAGTTTTCAGGACATTAGATCCACAATTAAAGGATTAGTTCACTTCCAGAATAAAAATGTCCTGATAATTTACTCACCCCATTTTTTGAGGAAAATATTCCAGGATTTTTCTTCATATAGTGGACTTCAATGGTGGCCAATGGGTTGAAGGTCCAAATTACAGTTTCAGTGCAGCTTCAAAGGGCTCTACACAATTCCAGCCAAGGAATAAGGGTCTTATCTAGTGAAATGATTGGTCATTTTCTAAAAAAAAATTAAGAATTATATACTTTTTAACCACAAATGTCCACTCGTCTTGCAGTAGCTCTGCATCCATTACGTAGTCACGTTGGAAATGTTACGCGTGACGTAGGCGGAAATACTGACCCAGTGTTTTCAAAGTGAACGTGCAAAGAAAAGAAAACGGCCTGGAGAAAAGTTGGAGGAGAAAATGAGATGAAGTTTTTCGATCTAACCTACCTTTTTGAAAACCATGCGTGACCTTTTTAACGTAATTACGCAATGCTTGAAGTCGCACATGCACATTGTAGAGCTAGTGCAAGACTAGTCTCAACCTCAGACGTCACGCCCACGGACCGTTGGCTAAACGTCTGATGCATATGGCACACAAAAGTGGAAACACTTCAGGAGTTTTGAAGTCGTCATCGGATTGGTTGAATTATACAGGAATTCCGGGAGACGTGTGTGTTGCGTTCTTTAACGTTATGCCTGGAAACAAAGATGCCGTGCCGCCAAAGCCCCTCACGAAAGAAGAAAGCCGTTGTGTTTACAACTGTGACGACGAGCACTTATCAGGATCAACTAAACGCTGGATTTTCAAAAGTATGTGAAAAATGTAAAGTTCGCGGCATAGAATCTTTCAAATACGTCCGAGAGTTTTACACACCGGTCTGTTATTGTGGCGACATTTCCACGCCCTGAAACGTGACAGTGAACACAACGAACTGTGATTGGTTGTTTGACATGTCGGTCAAACGGCCTCATAGGTGGGCCTTGGCCAATGAAAGCTGCCATGCATTCCAGACCTTCAGCCGTCAGTCTGAAGGTCTGGCTACGCGAGACTAGTGCATGACAAACATTTGTGGTTAAAAAATGACAGTTCGTTTCATTAGATAAGACAATTATTCCTCAGCTGGGATCGTGTAGAGCCCTTTGAAGTTGCACTGAAACTGTAATCTGGACCTTCATCCTGTTGGCCACCATTGAAGTCCACTATATGGAGAAAAATCCTGGAATGATTTCCTCAAAAAACTTAATTTCTTTGCAACTAAGACATGGTAGGTAAGAAAGACATGAACATCTTGGATGACATGGGGGTGAGTAAAGGATCAGGAAACTAATCCTAGGAAACTAATCCTTTAAGGTCCGTTCACACTATAACCTTTCTAATGAAATCATTAAAAGTCATTCACACCACAACTATAATGATAACGAAACTGAGGAACAGTATCAGTGGAATTACTTTCAGAATTATTTTTTCTAGTTGATGAATGCTTAAAAACATTGACGGCAAATCAGAATCCACCTAACTTTAAAAAGAGTGTGAGCATTTGAAGAGGCAGATGACGTAATTGCAGTGCATGTTAATAAGGTGGAAAACAAGAAGAAATATGTAGAAATAATACATATTGAAATAATTAGCATGCACCAGTAAGTTTTTATAAAAGTAAAGGGATAGATCATCCAAAAAGGAAAAGTCTGTTCTGTTTTCTCACCCTCATGTCATTCCAAATATTTAATTTTTACACAAAACTATTTTATGGCTTCAGAACACTTGGTATGGGATATTCATGTTACTTTTATAGTGCCTTTGCTTCCTTTTTGATGCTTAAAAGCCTCAATGCCCATTCAATGTTATTATAATGAAAGAGCAGCTAGGACATTGGTCAAAATGTCTCTTACTTTGGTTCACAAAATAAATCAGTCATACTGATTTGGAACTACATGAATAGACGATGACAACATTTCTATTACAGCATATAGACAACTACGTGAATTTAGCATTGAATGGTACCTATGAAACCCATGCGGTTTGCTTATAGCCTTGAAAAGAAACAGTGACAAATATTTGGACATCTGTCTGTAAAATAACCCGAGCAGCCAGGGCTTGGTTGAATTTGCAATGCGACATGCACCTGATCCAGGATGGGTTTGGACAGACGCCCGGGCTGTTGTTTTTTTTAGCTTTGTGACTTTGGGCGCAGAAGCGTAAAATACAAAGGTGCAATATGGAGACTTGGCAAACAATTAGGCCACAGCGAGAGGCAAGAATCTGCCCAGAAAGATAGCATGTGTGTGTGTGGCCATGCATATATATATTTCCCAGTGAGTGAATGCATGCGTGGGTGCTCATCATGTAGTGAAAGTTCAGCGTGCACGTGTGCATGAGTGTGTGCGCTTGTGTGCGTCTGCGAGCATGCATGTGTGTCGGTGGGTGTGCGAATCTTGTCACTCAACAGGGGTTCTAGCGCGAGAGCAGGCTCGGTACAGTAAGTGGGCCAGGCCAATTACTCACTTCCACTGCAAAAAACTCCTCTAATTAGATGTCATTTTAAAAAGGAAGAATTAACTCCTCTGGTATTTGACCCTGTTCTCCTCTCGTTTCTCACACTGCAGCCTATATAGATTGGTTTGTTGTGCTAGACATGTTTTATGATGGCATTTCCGCTGCCGATGCGGGCCAGCCTAAATAAAAACGGACAACAACCAAAAACAAAGACTACACATCTGGTCTTTTGGCTCCAAAAGCGGGGTCTTCGATTCCAGCTAGTGCCAGTGAATAACCCATGGAAATATCATTGGCTTCCGTGCCTGCATGTGTGGCTCAAATGGAACACTATTCCTTAGTTACAGCAGCAGTTGCTATGGCTGTGTCCGTATGGTGTGTGTGCATGTGTGAGTGTGTCACTTTCGGTCGGTGTCTATGTGGCTTCTATGTGGCTTCTACTCTGTGGTGTATTAGATAATGTGGCTGCTCTTCAGAGGCTCAGAATGGAAGCAAAGCAGATGTAGTCAGTTGTAGTGTCATATTGCTATTTGTCAACCGCTATAAACAAGGGAAATACGAGACGCTCCGTCTCGTACCTGTAAAGGTCATGTTGTAGAAACACCATGCCGATTGTTCAGAGTTGTTTTGAAGATCTACCCATGTAAACAGGTGCTGTGGTATTTACATTGAAGTTTTTCAAGCTACTTCTAAGAATACTATAGTACTGCAATAAATAGTGTCTAAAAACAGTATCAAAGTGGTATTTTGTCCGTGGGACTTTGTGGTGCTTTTAATGTAAAAATTAAGAAAAACATGCAGGATTTGACTGATGAAGCCAGGGGAATATGGAAAAAACGGTCAATTTTTAATGTATGATATTATAATAATTATAATATATAGGGTTGTGAATGTGTGTGTGTGTACGTATATAATACACATACAAATAAATAATATTCACGTTTCATCACATACATTTTTATATAGGGAAAAACTAACGTGTGTGTGTGATATTATTTAAATAGAATTTTTCTATATATATATATATATATATATATATATATATATATATATATATATATATATATATATACTTTTTAGAGACA